ACCTATATTAATAATCATTTACACTAGATCTAGGATGTTTTGTTATTATCGTAAAAATGTACGATTTCCGCAATGTAGCATTTAATATCATTCATGATACATTTAATATCATTTGATATTATTTAATATCATTCATGATCATTTGATAGCATGTATTATCGTTTAATATCGTTTAATATCGTTTAATAGCCCATCATTCTAGCTAAATACGCGTGATTTAATAAACTATAGGAAATTACTAATGGAATGTCATTTACCAAAAGAAACACAACAAATCGACCGAGTTATGGAAGCTTTTGCAAAAAGATATCATGAATTGAATCCTGATTTGTTTGCTTCTTCAGGTAATTAATTGTCTAATAATATTTATTAATATTATTAATAATTTCATTAACTGTTAATATTTAATATTTAAAATGCCTTATTAATTTATATAAATTGTATTAATTATGTATTAATTATATATTTAGATACTCCATATGTTTTGGCATTTTCTTTGTTGATGCTTCATACTGACGCTTTTAATAAAAATGTAAAACGAAAAATGACAAAAGAGGATTTTATAAAAAATACTCGTATTGATGGTGTGAATCCAGAAATATTAGAGGTAATTATACATAAGCTCTTATTTTTTTTTTTTAAAAAAAAAACCCCCAAGTTATATTATATACTAATTTATAAATCTTCATATTAGATTCTTTATGATAATATTATATATACACCATTTATATATGCTGAAGATGATGTCGATGTTAATGGACAGACAATGCTTGAATCACCAACTTCTGATCATCGTCAACTAAAAATCTTTTCTTCTTCAAAGGATAAAAGAAAATCATTGCGTCCTAAGAATGATCCTTATCATGTTATACAGACCGTAGGTTAATTGTTTATTTTTTAAAATAAATTATCTATTTTCTTATTAACTTATAATTAGCTTTAATATTTTTCAACAAAAAAAAACCCCCCACATAATTAATTAATAGAAACAAGGAACTGAATTTAAGCCATACCTCAAAGATATAATTCCAGTCGAAAATCCATATTCTTATATTGGTACACTTCCTTCTTTAGATATAGTAAACCTTCATCGTGCATTTTCATCAGCTCAAACAATTCGTATTACTGGTGTCCAAAATCGACGTAATGGCGATTCATTTAGTTCAACAACTAGTTCATTTCAACCTTCAAAGGATGGAACCTTCCTTTTAAAGATAACAAAAGGTGGTAAACTTGGAAGAAAAGTTGATTTAATTGATGGTAAAAAGAAAGGTGGAAGAAATTGGAAATTATATGGTGTTATATTAAGTGGAAGTCAATTAATGTTTTTTAAAGATGAAGCATGGTTTAATACTCAAATAAATGAGTTAAAAGATTATGAGGTTTGTTTTTAATTTATTTGTTTCCTAAATAATGTATTTATTATTTTTTTTATTTTTTTATTTTTTATTTTTTATATATTACTTAATTTTAACAGACAATAAAATAAATCTTAGAATTCAACGAAACTTCCCGTCTTAAAACCTGATGCGATTCTAATGACGGCTGATTCCGTTGCCGTATTCGACAAAAGCTATGATAAATACAAAAATGTATTTAGATTAGTATGTCCTCAAGGTCATCAATATTTATTTCAAGCTGAAAATGAATCTGAAATGAATGATTGGATATCAAAAATTAATTACGCTGCTACATTTAAAACCATTGGATTAAAAATTAGAAATGTTAGAAGTAGTACTGCTAGTGGGATGTCAAGTTTTGGTGCATCACTACATAATATTCCTGACGTTAATGAAAATGATAATGATATAGGTACTGGTGTAGGTAATGAAAATGTTCCTACTGATAAAAAGAGAGAAGAAAAAGTTGTTAGTAAAAAACAATCAGAAAGAATTTCTAGATTTGGAAATTCTGGAATTAACAGAAGAGAAAGTAGAAAAGGGAGTGATAAGTTTAGACCTTTGTTTAGATTAAAAGAAGATAGTGCTAAAGATGCACAAGGACGAGCTAACTTGTTACGCGTAAGTTTTCAATTTATTATTTATTCTTTTATTTATTGTCTATTCATTTTTCTTTTTTTTTTTAATCTAATATATCTAAATATTTAAACAATTTTTTTTTATATAATAAAAGACAAAGATCGAAGAACTTCAAGGAAAAATTTCAACTTTAACTGCTCAACTCCAAAACGAAGTTCGATTTCGTAATAATCTATTTCTCATGATCCCTTATAGGGCATCAACGCGAGATCGAATAGTACAAATTGCAATTACAGTAGCAACTAAACTTCGGCACACATGTCTAGAATTATCTAGACTTCTATGCTATCATGAAATATTGGAAAAAGATTTATGTGCTACAGTAATGGAGGATGATAGGTATTGGCTGAATAGGAGAAGTATGTATAGGCTTTGTGGTGAAAGCAGTTCAGAAGATAATAGCAATATTTCTTTAATTGGATCTATAACGGGTGGTGATGGTGTTTCAGCTATGATGTCGATGATGAATACTGAAAATAAGGAACCATCTAAAAAATTGTTGGACATAGATGATATTAAAGATATAGCCGATATGACCAATATAACTAAATCATTTGGCTTTGAAGAAGATTCCACTACAACAGTTATCAAATCTTCAAAATCACCATCAAGATTTATTAAAACTGATCACATTAACAATAATAAAGTTGAAGTGAAAGACAAAGGCAAGAATGAAAAAATTCAAACAGTACCAATCTCAATATTACCAAAAAGTTCTACATCGTCATTATCATCTATGCCATATTCAAGTAACGGCGGTGATAGTTATGGTGGGGGTTCAAGTCAAACCACTGTTTCCCAGCACGATGAAGAAGAATATGTATATCGTCATGTAAATGCATCAGAATTTGACTTGGGATTTGAAAGAGATAATAGCTTGGATGATAGTAAAGATGATGGAATATCTATATATGAAAATAATGTTATTAAAGATGATGTTGTTGCAGTTAAATTTGATGTAAAAGAAGTGAATAATAGTGACTTTGCTAAAGATAGATCAGATATAATAGATTTGCAAACAATAGATCCTCAAATTATAGAAGCTTTATATATAACGGATAATAGTCCATCAATTATATTTAATAATCCTATTAGTGAAGATATGTCATTACCAGTAGTGGAAACAAATATACAAAAATCGGATATTACTATAATGACACCCATAATTATAGATGATGATGATGAGGAAATTGTTGTTATTGATGATGATTATGAAGAAGAGGAGGAAGAGGAGGAAGAGGAAGAGATATTTGTAGATAGTTACGAATTTAGTGATGGTGATTCGGACGAAGAGTTTGTAGATGCTGAGGAATATATTGATAACAAATAGAATTAGTGTTTTAAATGGTGTTTTTTTTGAAAAAAAGTGTTAGAATTTAATAATTTATTATTTATTATTATTGTTAATTTTGATTTGGAATTTTTGGGTTTTGTAATTTTAATAAATTAAGATCTTGTTTATAATAAAAAAAATATATTGATATATTACAATGTTATATGATTAGAAAATATTTGGGCCATGTCTTGGACTGAGATATGTACATTTTATGTGCCGGAAGTATGCTCAGATAAATCGGATTATTACATTTTTATTTTATGCTTGTTATTATTTAGAACATCTTTTTAGAATGTTGTTTATAATAAAAATTATAGTAAAACCATATGAATTTACTATAAACTTTGAGTTAAAGATCTTTTTCAATTTACTAAGTAACTTAAAATTAAATTTTGCAATTATATAAAACAAAAAGAAAAAAATTTGGCTTAAAAACTAAGTTAAAAGTTTGCTAATTTTGTTTATTTGAAGAGGTAATTTCTTTAAAAATAAATTTAAAATAATTATTATATGTAGAATTATGCATCAAACAGCTTAAAAGTCAAAAGTAGATTACTTTAATGTAAAATAAGTTAGCTATATACATTAAAGTTAAATATTTTTGTTTATTTATATGTAATTTTTTTTTAAACAGTTAGTTAGTACTTTATTAAGACTTTTAAACCTACTTTTGCAATTACATAAAAAAATACTTAACAACTAAGTTTAGCAACTTGTTGTACTACTTCAAACAAAAGTAAATTACTTGTCTAATTATTTAAAGTTTATAATAAAAGATTTTTTCCTTTTTATAACAAGTCTCAATATTTTTAAAACTTATTTATAAAAAATGTTTTAAACTGTTTTTGATAACATGTTTGCAAACTGTTATCTTGATTTTGTGTTTAGAAGTTATGTTAATCTGTTTTGTATTTTTTTAAAATTAGGTTTTTATTTAATAGTTTTTTATTTTTATTGTTCTAAAAAGTATTATATATAATATATATAAAAAAACTAATTTTTTCTTTTTATAAATCTTTTTATGCTATTATTGTAATTACTTTTAAATTTTTTTTAAAGATTTATTTATCTCTTACACAATATTAGATATGCTTGTATTTTTTTTCTATTGTTTTAATATACTTAATATTTTGCTATTATATATATATTTAGTTTTCTTCTGTTAAGTTTCTTTAAAGTTTTATATTTATTTATTATATATTTTATAAATATATTTCTTGCATTATTTTTTTTAGTACAATGTATTTTTTTAGTTATTTTTAGTTTTTTTCAAAATTGTATTTAATTATAAATTATAACTTCTGTTTCTGATTCTAAATTATTAATTGCTCTTGTTTTTTTCATTTTATTTTTAATTTAGTATTTATTATTAGTTTATATAGCAGTCTTGCTAGTATGTCAGTTTATCTTTTTTCTATTCTAAGCAGTACTTTATCTCTTTACAACTACTTTTTCTATATATATTATCTTTTTATTTATTGATCTTTTTTTTTACAAAACTATCAGTTTTGCTGTTTTATTGTAATTCTTTATTTTAATTAACTTTATCTATATATTTTTTGTTTATAATATTTATTATTTAATTGTATTTTTTCTTTTGAAAATCTTATTTTTGTTTATATATTTTAAATTTCTTTTAATGTTTCTTATTACAATATAGTTTTCTGTATATATTTTTACTTATTTTTTTTAGTACTATTAAAGTTACTATTTATATTGTTATTAGCTTAGCTATTGTTAATATTAACTATTTTTTTAATTCTAATACTATTTTATTTTTTAGCCAATTTTAAATTTTACTTGTTTGAACTTATTCTATATTTATATTTTTAGTTATTGTTTCTTTTTTAGTATTTATATTTACTGCATTATCTGTATATATTGTATACTTATTTTTGTTTTTTATTATATTTTTTCTTAAGACTTTTACTATTTTTAACTAATATTCTTTTTCAATTTTTAGTTTTTGGTTATTTTTATTTTAAATTTTTTATTATTACAAGTTTTTTAAACTTATACTCTTTATTTTTCTGCTTTTGTCTTTTTATTAATTAGTCTATTACTATCTTAATCTTGTTATTACTTTTCTTTATTAATATATTTAAAATTATATTAATCTTGTTATTTACTTTTATTTATTATTAGCAACTTATGTTTATTTATTTTTTTTTATACAACTATTATATTTGTTAGTCTCAATTGCTAATTTATTTTTTTTGCTTTATATTTACTAATATTTTTTTTAATTTATTAAAGTTAATGTTTATTCAATCCACCTTTTAATCTCACTTCACATTCACCTCAATTTTTTCTTTTTGATTCAATTCACTCTAAAATTAATTCCTGGTATATACAATAGATAAAATATCAAACTAACCTTTCATATATTATTACAAATATCCAAATCTAGGTAAGTCTTGGCCACTCCTGTTGGTTTAGATCACAGATAAACTAGTCTGAGCTTCTACTCTTTTTATAATATTTTTAAAAGTAAATTTATGCTTTACGTAAAAATTTCAAATAAATATTCAATAAAGATAGAAGCATGGCCTTACCATTAATATTAAAAAAAAAAAAGTTGATATTTATAATAGCTATTGTTTTTATTTGTTTTAGTTAATATATTATATGTAATATGTACAAGGTAAGTATGCATCTAGTCATATATACAACTTTTAATTACTTATTTAAGTAATTTGTCTATAGATTCTACATTAGCTGTCATATCTATAATCTACTAAAAGATTATTTATTTAAATACTTTGATTCTTATACTGCATTTAGACATATAGTTATCTGGTTTTTGTATTCTAAATGTTATTTAATTCAAAATTTAGTCTTTTTTTTAAATGTTTGTTAGACCATTATATATTTAAAAACATATTACTTAACTGTAAAATTTAAGAATATTTTTCTGTTGACTATCTACCTACTTTATGGAACATTAATAGAATTAATCTTTATAGAGTTCACTTAAACTCTAGCATCTATTTTATAGCATATCTTTAGTACTTTTATATACATCTGTTTTGATCTTAAACTTTTAATTTAGATAGTCTGATAAGACTGTAACTTGTTTTTAGTATATCAAGTTTGACCTAATATTCTTTTTCTTTAATCTAATTTTGGCAGTCTGGTTGGTAATACCTCTTATTTAAAGGTTCTTGTTTACTTAATTCCTTTATATTAATATCTGTTTTCTAGTTCTAGTTTTTATAATAATATTATTAAAAATCTGTATTATCTTTTTACTTGAGTTTTTCTAAATAGGCTTTTGTTTTCTTAGTTCTATAAATCTATATAACTACAAAACTTATTTTAGGTTTGCACTGTTTAGTACTAGTTAGCATCTCTATATATAACCAAAGTTATACAGATAGCTTATAACTTGCCAATTATGCTAATGTAACTATAGTTACAAATATTTGATTTCAACTGATTATCAGAAAATAGTTATTATAATATCTATAATTATACAAATAATAATTCAAATTTTTGTTATTAGTGAACTTTAAACTTATCACCTATTACTTAGAAGGTTGACAACTTATTTACTTCACTAATTTATCATATTCTATTTATCAATATTTTATTAATATTTTTCTTTTTTTAATTATTTTTTTTAGCTACCTATTTTTTTGTTTACTATATACTACTTATTGGCTCATATTTAAGAAACATATCTCAAAAGCAATTTTTAGTAGTAGTATAAAATAATTAAAGATCATCTACAATCTAGACTAAGATACAATTTGTAATTTTGTTTTGTTTTAAAGATAGTATAAGTGTTTTTTTATTTATAAAATCATATAATGATAAATAATTTAAAGCTATTTTGGGTGATTAAATATTTTATTTTTTTTAGAAAGCAAAATTCTATGAATTTAATATAAATAAGATTTTAAGTTTTCTGTTTTAGTTATTAATTTATATCATTTGAACAATCTATATTACATAATAATGATGTTACTATTATTAATAATAGTCTAAGTAAAGGAATTCAAAAAAAAGATTTCTATTTATAACAAAAAATTAAGACCTAGTAAAAGTTAAATGTGGCTTTATTTTAAACAAAATAAACTTAAAAAAAAGATTTATTATAAAGTTAAAATTACAAATAAAAATAGTAATAAAACTACTTATAATCATAACTATGCTTAAATTTAATTTAGTGTCTAGGTTGTTTGAATTCTTGATTCATTTAATTCATTTGATTTATTTGATTTATTTAATTTTAATTTATCTTTATTCAACAAAATTACAGAATCACTATTACAATAATTGAATTGAGATTATTTATATGCTAATATTTAAATACTAAAAATTTGATTAAAAAATACAAAATGAAATTTCTATTATGAGCAAAAAAATTATTTTAATTACTTTTGTCATCTTTAACTTTTTTTTGAAATATCTTTGTTGTTACTGCAACTAGAAGCATAAATAGTATTATTTTATTAAGATATTACAAATAACTTAATTACTTTTTAAATAATTATATATTAGTTTAAAAAATTTAGATCTAGTACTAAAAAGATTGTTTTTTAGAATTTGTATTTCCTTTAAAATATGATTTTTAATAAGAGAGTTTAAAGAGTTAAGAAGTGTATCTGAATTTCTCTATTTTGCAAAGATGTATTATCACTATATTTCATAAATTACAAGAATATGTAATTAGGTCAAAGCTGCTAAAGCATAAGAACACATATTGTTAGAGGCTTGAAAGTTATCATCTAGTAAAAATATATAGATATTTCTTCATTAATGTTAAGAAAGCTGTATACTTTTTTTTAAATTATTATACTTCAATGACATTCTAAAGTTAAATGTTCTATAGTTTGTACTTAATTAGGCTACCAAGTACAGTTTTTTGTTTTTGATAATCTAATGTGTCTTAATTGATAACTTAATAAAAGTGCTCTGTAAAAAAAATGCTAAAAAATATCTTTTTTCTTATTATAAATATACTTCAGAAGAAGCCAAATATGCTATAA